TAAGTTCACACCCATTGTCATGAGAGAGTAGTTAGGTATAGTGGTATTCTACAGTCAGCGACTTAAAATTCTTGATCTGCCTTACTATTGTTTAGATATTTGGGAAGAAGATGAAACTCCAGTTGAACTTTTGGGAAGTCAGGTTAAGGGATATGTCTAACCGCAGGACTTATATGTATAGTTTTGATTAAAGATGAAGCAAGTGTTTAGCTATTATGTCCTGAAATGTGGGAAATTCAGGGTTCTTTATGGATCTTTTAGTCGGTTGGGGAACAAACTGGGGCGCAAGAACCATATAACTACTCTTCTATGGTGCAAGTTGTTAATATGAGAATTGGTGGTGGCCTGAATCTCCGATTGACTTTTATATGCTTTGAAGTTGTAGTACCATCTTTATAGGCAATGAAGTGCTAGTTTTGATAGACAACCATCTTCTCTTTCCATCCCACCAAAAAGATTCTGTTTTATCCCCTTGAGAAGTATAATTCTCCCTTTTCACCTAATTTAGCTTGACTCATCTACGTATGACCGAATCGTTCGTTCTTTTCCATCTATTTGTTCCCCCTTTTCCATCGTGCAGATCCAAACATGACAGAAGGCTGAGTACTCTTAAGACCTCATACTTATTAAATAGAAGTATTCTTAGACTTCTTCTTTTTTTGACAAGGAAGAAGTACTCTTAGACTTCCTTATGTTATTCTCGTGTTGCTGATTTATTTGGTGTGTAATGAGGAGATTAGCAAGATAGCGGCGGAGCCAGTGATTTAAAAAAAAGTACTAGAATGTCATAGTTGGTTTTTGAATCTATGACCTAAAGCAACTTTGAACACCATTTACCACTACACTACAATATTCCCTTATTATTTAGGGCATTCAACAGTTTATATATGTAAAAAAGAATAATTTTCACCCTATTTGTGCGCTATTATTTTTGACTAATTTCCTTCCCCTACCTCTGCCTCTGTAGCAAGATCTGGAAACAGAGAAAAATGTCAATGACATAAGTTGTCATAAATTTTTGAAGCGTTAGGGAGTAAAACAGTTAGTGTGTGGGTGGAAGGGGGGGGGG